CGACTCGCCCGATCCCTGGATCCGCGACTCTAATTCGCCCGTACCCTCGGCACGCCCGATGCCCTAGTAGGCGAAACTCCGTCTCACCCAATCTCTCGACCGTGACCAAAATGCCTGGGACCACGCTCCTAGAAACAATGGAACTAGAAAAGGAAGGCTACGCCCACCAAAGAGCACACACTCACGCCCGCTGATAAAACCCCCCAGGCGATTCTGCCCGAATCACCCAGGGGCTCGGGGGCTACACCCGCGGGTGCGCTCGCGCGCACCCGCTGACAAAATAAAACTTCCCCCGCTGGCAATACAAAGAACCTCCTAGACGATTCTACCCGAATCACCCGAGGGCTACACCCGCGGGTGCGCTCACGCGCACCCGCCGCCAAGACAAAAATCCCCCAGACGATTCTACCCAAATCGCCCTGGGGCTCGGGGGCTCCTGTCGGGTTCATAAACCCAGGGTCCCTCATGGACCGGCTTCCCAGCAAAGGCTCGGCCCAGCAGATGACGTTGCGAATGACACGCAAACTCCTGGGCACGCCCAAATACCTAAACAACAGGCCAGAAGGGCGATCCAATCTCCGACCAGAAGGCCTCGCTAAGGAGGAACAACGTTCACTTCCAACTCCAGCCCGCCTCTCCGACCGGAAGGCCTTGCCAAAGAGGAACAACGCTCGCTTCCGACTCTAGCCCTCCTCTCCGACCGGGGAATGCACCAAACCCCTGCTTACAGCTCTTCTCCGACTGGCGTAGTCGGAGCCGACTGGGACCAACCGACCGGGGACGCCTGCTCGGTAAGGATCAGGAAACGGATGGAGCAAGTAAGGCAGAGCACTCAAGTCAACCGCAATACCGAGGATTGTACCCTGCACACCTGCAGGACAGGAACCGACAGGACATGTCACGAGGGTGCCCTACAACCTTCCAGGCATGCCAGAACCCAAGCAGTGTTGTGGGCGCCGACATTTGCCCTACAGTGTTGTGGGCGCCCGCAAACTCCCATACCAGATGAGCATAGTAAAACTCCTTGCATGCCTCTGGGCATCAACAGTATGGCAGGCACCGACGTCTGCCATACCAGAAGAAGACGATGCAACCTCCCACATACATCTGACATTAACAGTGTTACGGGCGCCTACAATCATCTTGTACCCGACGGTGTGGGCAACAAGACTTAGCATACGTACACTCTCTCTCACACACTTGTAAGGCCATCCCCTTCATCTATAGAAGGGGATGCGCTCTCTCCCAAAGAAAGAGAATCAGTCCACAACAACTCGAACAACACAAACGATCCGAACGACCAAGGATCCCAACGAATAATATATGTTCGAACACTTAGCACATAGCGGAGCTCCTGTCACTCTCGGCCCTTCATACCAGAGTCCGACCGGACCTCTTGTACCCCCATCTTTCTCCCTTCCGTTTATAACCCCACAGCAAACTTCGAGCACCTGGGCTCAGGAATAAAGTCACCGACCGACTCAAACTAGACGTAGGGCACGTTGTCTGAACCAGTATAAACCCTGTGTCATTGACTGCTATGCCATATCCGATCACAACGTACGGCAAAACTACAAGTATTTATGTGTTGGTCATTTTCTGCACCGACATGATGTTTTGCCATATCAATAAAACTGAGGTTTTCTTGTTTGATTGTAATAAACAGTTTCCACTTAATTTCTGTTCCTCTAATTGAATCACTTTGCACTAGCATTTTATCTAATGTTCATCTTCTGCTACTGATGAATCAATTCAATTAACTACAATTGTTTCTCAACTATGATATAATTAATTATTTTATTTACCAAATGAGCATGGACGCATTCTGCAGGTGGGTCTTCATCGGTGTCAGCGGCGTGCATGACCCCATGGTGTCACCGATATGGTGAATGTTTGATCATTCCAAGGAACATGGTTTTGTGTTTCTCGCATTAAACAACAGTGGATTTCCTCTACGACGGGTGGGTGTTCTCAATGTCAATCTATGTTTCTGTTTTTTTAGATCTCATTTATTTTATGAAGTTTTCATGGTTAATGTATGGTGTAAAGGAATTAGACGTTTATAATTTTCATTTATTTTTTTCACGAACTTTGTGTTTTTGGATTAAATGTCAGTTTAACGTCGGTATTTAATTTCACAGTATTGTTATCTTATCGTGCAATCCGTGTATTTTTAAAATAAAAGTTTAGTTGTTCCGTAGCAAACGCACGGACACTATACTAGTATGTAATTAGTTTTATAATTAGCTCATATTTAGTCCTAATTGATTACTAACCATCTGATATGATAGGGAAGTTAGTCATGCAATGCAAACACCCCTAAACTATTTTGTCTAACCGGTGATTTCTCCTGCGCAAAGTCTACGATCTGTCGCGCTTCGTTGCTATCGCGCACGCCCTCTAGGACAGGCTGGAGTTCCCCCTCCCCCACCCAAAGTTGCAGCCTACTTTTCCTGCCGTTACCAGTGCGCCGTCGCTCGACCACCATTGATCTGTTTTAGGGCACTGCTGCCGTTGATCTGCTTTAGGGCGCTGCTGCCGTTGATCTGCTCCAGGGCGCCGTCGTCGGCCATCTGTTCGAGGGTGCCGCATACATATCTCTGTTGCAACTTGCCACCGTCAGTAAGATTGCTTCTTCTGACTTGTGTGTGGCCGAGATATACATCTCTGTCCTACTTATCGCCGTGCTAATCTTGCTAGTATGCATATATCAGTTAAGGATATGAGTTCATTGTAGTACACATCATTGGAGCGGTGATAAGTGATAACATTCATCGTGGTTTTCTGGTCTAAAACTTTTAGATTTGTTTGGACAAAATTCAGACGTGTAATTCCAATTCAAGAGGTTTTATGTTCTTTGCCTCTGAACACCATGTTTGTGTTTGGCATTTTTTTTCTTATTACATTGTGTCTCTTGTTTGGCCGCTGGGGTAATATCATACTGGCCTACAACGGGAGGTTGACTCTGGAGCCCAAAAAAATTGTAGTCATTGAGTTAATCAGGTTTAGCTTGTTTTCTGATCAGATGAGTAGGTAACAATAGAGAAAGTCTTTTGTTCCTTACCTCTCCATATTTGTTTTTCATTGTGTCTACTTTAGTCTTCAGTTTCTATTTGTCAATTTCAGTTTAATTATCTGGTTGCCAATTTCTTTTTCAGTATTATGTTTCATTTATTTGTTATTTCATTGTGTCTGCTTTAGTCTTCAAGAGTTCAATTTTCTGGTTGTCAATTTCAGTTTCATTTTTATGTTTCATTTTTCCTTTTTTATTGTGTCCACTTTAGTTTTCAATTTCTGTTTGTCAATTTCAGTCTAACTATCTGGTTGTCAATTCCAATTTCAATATTATGTTTCATTTTTTTGTTTTTCATTGTGTCTACTTTAGTCTTCAGGAACTAAAATTGTCAATTTTAGTTCAATTTTCTGATTGTCATTTTCATTTTCAGTTTTATGTTTTAGTTTTTCATTTTTCATTGTGTCTACTTTAGTTTCCAGTTTCTTTTTCATTTTTTGTACTAGGCAAAAAGATAAAACTTGCAGTGTCTTCATCTCTTCACCAATCATTGTCCATGGTCCTTGTGTGATGGAAAAGAAGTGAAAATATCAATTGACTAAGAATCTACTGGACCAAATACATGTGCATCAGTGTGTGATACTGTAGCAACTTATCATGGACAATGTTTTAGTTTCTTTTGTTGTACCTTTGTGTATGTGAAGGTTCTCTTTTGATGTTGTCAGTATTGGCTCTAGTTAGTTCGTTTGTATTTACCTAAAGCAACATAGGACTATGAAGACAAGCAAAATTAAAGATATGAAGGCACGCCGAATCGGCGGCCCTCCCAGGGTGTCCACGTAAGTTCTTTTTATTTGGTGCGTTAGATAGAAATTCCATGGCTCAGATGAGACGCATCACAGCCATCCTTCATGCATCCCCTCCGTACTACCGTCAGCTAAAAACAAGTCGGATAGATGGACGCATTTAATGCCTCTCCTCTTTACCCACCGACCATGCACCGACCATGCTGGTACGCTCGGCACGGGATGGGCCACCGACCATGCACCGACCGACATGGCTCCACCGTGGTCCTCTCATGTAAAATGGTGCTCCTTCCTCTTTCTCTCTCTCGTGTAAAATGGCGGCAGCAGCCCGCCTCCTCCTCCTCCTCTCTCTCCTCTCCACGCCTCGCTCTCTCCTCGCTCCTCGTCGCGATCGCCGAGGCTCCTCAAGACTGCCCAGGTGCGGCGCAATGGCGTCCCCGACACGCGGCGCCATGGTGCGCCGTCCAACGCCAATGGTCGTGGCTGCGTCCGAGCCCCTCGCTTCTCCCCGGCAATGCCTGTCCCGCCGGTCGCGTGTGCTCGGCGAAACCCTAGCTTCCTCTTCCCCCGCCGTCGGCGGTGGCGTCGACGTAAACTTCGCTACTGGATCTGGCGGTACCTCACCCCTTCTTCTTCTCCTACCCGACGCAGAGCCGCCCAGCAGAGCGGGCGGGGCGCGCTCTTCTTCTCCTCCCCGACGACTGGCGGCTCCGAACACCCGCCTTCTGTCGCGTCCCTCTTCCTCCCCCACCTTCCTCTCTTCTCCCTTCACCCCTTTTTGGCTTTTTCTCTCCTCCCGCGTCCCCGACTCCTCCCAATTCGAGATCCCGGAGGCGGCTTCCCAAGGGCTCTGCGCTCCGCTCATTGGATCAAACCATCGTGCTCTCGTGAACCCCCCCAAACCTAGCCGGACCAAGCCACATTCGCCGTGAGCGCGGTGCCCAGGCCGGGCCAGATCTGCAAGATCCGCACCGACACCGCTACGCCTATCACGAGGTACAGAGGCCGAGCTGAACCCCTCAGATCTGCTCGCTTAGGCAGTCCTCTCCGATGTATTGCCGCTGATTTGCTGAAAATGGCGTGGTCGCTGTAGGTGGATGCTCTCGTGATCTCTCGGAGGCCACGGGGACTGAGCGGAATCTCGGCGGAGGCGTGGCCTGCGTAGCTGGCTGCCTGCCGAGATGCAGCGGAACGGGGTGGTGGAATGCAGCGTTTGCCGCTCCCGGGTGGTGGTGCCGAGCACCCAGAGCGTGTCCAAGGCATACGACAAGCACCGTAGCAAGATGTTGTCCAAGTTCCGCGCGCTCAACGTCTTCCTCATCGCCGGTGACTGCATCCTTGTTGGTCTCCAGGTGTGTGCGCGCCTAAATGCTTCATTTTCAGTCCCAAGCGCGGGAGACCTTTGCACGATCAGTGTTTGAGTGAAATGGCCTCACGGATTTGGTACAGAAGTAATGCTTTTACTAGTACTGATGCCTCGCATGCTTGACATGGCCCTTTGCTGTAGTGTTACATTCACCTGAATAGCAAATGATTGGCCTTGGGGTGTCATGCTAATGTTTGACTTGGTTTATGCAGCCCATCCTAGTGTTCATGTCAAAGGTTGATGGGAAGTTTCAGTTCAGTCCCGTCAGTGTTAACTTTCTGACGGAGGTTATGAAAGGCATCTTTGCTATTGTGATGCTCATAATTCAGGTTTGTTCTTGTTACTTTCTTGCTGATGTTTTCCCTTTTTGCAAGCATTCTGACTCGAGGTGACTTTAGAAATGAAGAGTGATCCATTTTGCGTGAGCTATTTTCACATGTTAGTCTGATAACATCTATGATCTCCTAATAAGCAGCCCACTGAGAACTCTTATGGTCTTTCAAAAAAAATTGAGAACTCTTATGATTTGTAGTTCTAGAGTAAGGATCAGAGGACTAAGTGTTTACACGCAAAAGGAAATGGGAAAAAAGGGTTTGTCGAACAGAACAGGAAGCCATCTTTCCTAGCAGTTAATGCCTTCTAAAATGTGGAGTGGCACTCTTGCTTGGTCAGTCCAAGTAAGCTGTTTTCCTTGTGCACAGATTAGCTTAGGATTTTGTTAGTATTCCTCCACACTGCGGATTTTCATGGTGTCTGGTGGATGTACCGAATTACAGTTACTCTGTAGTGTTTTCTCTTTAGTTTGTAGTAAGTAGTATTATGTTCATAATTTCTTATCTGTTAATCTTTTTTTGCTTTGTTGTTCCAATGTGACAGTCTAGAAAGCAACAGGTTGGAGAAAAGCCACTTTTGGCACGTTCAACCTTCATACAGGTGATTTATCTACCACAAGATATATTGTACTTTGATATGTACTGTTGCTCCATATTTATTTTTTGCTACATTGTCTGATTATTTGGAAGGGCAGGCATGTTGCAGTGGTGAGAGCTATCTCACTGAGTCACCAGGTTGTGGGTTCGAAGTACTGGGTCTCCGGCTTGCCTCGGTTTTTCCCTTCCCCAAACCCCACTCATGTGTGAGCCTCCGGCACTGGGTCTGCCCTATATTGTCTGATTATTTGACCATTCACTATTTGGTTCTGTAGGCAGCCCGTAATTTTGTATGGTGGTACCCTCATGCTTAACAAGTTGTACCAACAAAAAGATATGCATAACGAACTTCATAGCTCATAAAAGCTGACTGATTTTGTGTAGAACATTAGAATTTAAAGTATTTACTAATGGTTAGTAGGGGGCGGGGGGAATGTGAATGTCCCTTTCCCTGAGGCAAACACGATAGGTATGTTGTCTGCCTTATGTTTATGATGATTACATTGTCCTGTCTTTTTGCAGGGCCAGAAAGTTTTAATATTCTTTGAGGGCATTCAAGGGCCACAATGTTTCTCATATGTAACAATGTTGCACAAGGCATTCTATCTTCATTCTTCTTTAAGTATGCAGGTAATGTTTTTTGACATTTGCTCTTTATTATTATTGTAGTTATCACATCTATTGTCTAACTGAAATACACTGCAGACACAATTTTAAAGAAGTATTCGTCAACTGTTGCCACAATATTTACTGTCCTAGCTTCTGCTGCATTCTTGGGGCATACCTTGACCATTAATTTTCTCCTGGGCATGTCAGTGGTGTTTATTTCAATGCACCAGGTAAACTGACCTTTTTTTATTACTTTTTTTGTTGAACGACCATTGTTGTATTTCATGTATCTTTCTGTCATTTCTCCTTAGTTCTTCTCTCCACTTGCTAAAGTCAAAGATGACAAACCAGCTGACTTAATAGAGTTGGAAGATACCCAAAATCACCGGTAGGTTTTTATCTCGCTTCAAATGGTATTAACAAATTACTCCAATACTTGATTTAGGTTTCACTTAGCATTGGCCTTTGAAGAAGTGTTGTTTTGCACTGTGTCCATGATCTCCATCTAGACTTTTATAGCTTTGGCATGTGCTTTGGGATGCCTGTTAATGTTGTTGTACAAATAGCAAGCTGTTTATTAAGTTTCTTTTGGCATGTGGCCTCATGTGGTGCATATTTTTCACAAGTCATCTGAATCTTCTTTTGTAAATATGACTGCTGGTGCCGCTGATGATGTGAGTATCTCAGTTTCCATTTTAGAGTAGATGTGTCATTCTAGAGGCTACATCTAATTTGGCTTTCATTTCAGGCGAGCCATCGGATTGGAACTGATGAGAGGCAACTGCTGTTGCCTACATGAACTAGTTTCTTGAGGTATACATAGATTCTTGTAGCCATATTTCTACTGTGTTGCTCAGTTAACAGTTTGACATGGTAAATAGCTATATGCACGTAGTTTGCCAATTCAGTAAGGTGTATGATTATAGATATTTTACACAAGATAAATCGTGATTTTTTAGTGGATATTTGTCTGTGACAGTTCATTTTCTATAGCAATTTAAGAAAACAGATTGTTGCAAATTGATGGTAGAGGCACCAAATGCTGATCCATAGTCTCACATTGTTTTGGATATATGCTTGAAGATGAAAATAATCTGGTTAGCTGTACCTATTAGCTCGACATAGGTTGGCAGCTGTGGGCTAAAATATAAGATTTTGATTTCCACATGAGTTCTATATTTCTATGTGCAATATACTAAGCGAGACAAGTTTCCTGGAATATTTCTCTCTCACAAGCAAATGAACACCGGTTCTTTCTGTTCTGCAGGTAGGATAGGAAGACAGCTTTTTTGCCGTGTGAGCAGCAGATTTCATGTAGCATTGTGAGTTGAATAAACTATTGTACACTGTAAAGCCAAAAGAAAGAAAGAAGTACCAACGTGTTCTCCATTTTTTCCTTTCATTTTTGGGATGAGGCCGGTGGCTGGCCATTGTGGCCGTGGGAGTGACAGAGCAGCATACATTTTGATAGGCATATAATTCAATAGGGATTTTCCAGATACGATACTTGTAACAAAAAATTTCCCTGGAGCTGTATATTTACAACGGCGATGTGATAACCTTTTTTGTATGGAACCTTTTATTTATACTATTGATTAATTGTTTTACCATTGTTACTACATTGTTACTTGATTCTCCAACCGTGTTCAGTGTTTGACTTTTGCGTAACCATGTAAGCTGAATCTCGATTTTCATGGGAATTCCACCTGCGCTGGGGACGCGAAGCCCCTGCGGTAGAGCAAGTCGCTCATGACGCTGTTGTCGCGCTGCGTCAGGTGCACGCCGTCCCAGCTAATGCGCTCGTTGGGCCTCGCGCACACGGACGCGCCTGGCGCGCCGCACATCCGGTCCATGTCGAAGTTGTAGGCGCCGCTGCCAGCGCCGTAGCACGCCTCGGTCCACGCCCCCTCGTCGAACCCCGCCTTGCCGGCGTACCTCAGCATCCACACGTACGCGTAGAAGTAGCTGGCATAGTAGATGGTCACAGACGGGTAGGACCGGCGCAGCTCTAGGATGCCCTGCTGCAGCAGCGCGTTGTGCATAGCGGAGGGTCAGAACGATTTCATGTGAGTAGTTGCAGCACCATCTCTTCATGGTTGTATGGAGGGACCCTGATTTCAATGCCTTTGGTCTCAAGGTTCAAACATGGTGTCCCTGTTGGCCTGTGTATATTTTGAGTTCATATCAAACATTACTAACCGATTCTTTTGCAGGACCCAATGGCCCAACGGATTGCTATGTTGATGTTGAGTTTCTATATACTCCTTCATATGGTTAGGCCCTTTCACTTCTCACGTTCGTGCTATGAATTTTAGTATTTTGTGTGTGGAGTAAGCCTTGGTTATACTAGGTTGCTCTTAACCATATAACTTTAAATCCTGGTGTAATTTAGTGTTCGACGCCGTGTAATCTTTCGTGTAATTCCAGATTTATGAAATATGTTGTAGTTTCGCCTAAGGGGAGTGGATCCTAATTCCAGAAAAAAGCAAGCACATTCACCGCGAGGTGAAGTGTGCCCACTTAGTCCCCGAGCCTGACAATAGATGACGTAGTCATGTGGTGCCAGGGTTCAAAGTAGAAAAAATATAAAAGACCAACCGAGTAGGCAGCCAGTCCCCGGGCGCAGCCCCAAAATGAAATAAAGCACATTCACCGTAAGGTGAAGTGTGCCACTTAGTCCCCGAGCCTGACAGTAGGTGACGTTGTCACGTGGTGCCGGGTGTGCATTTTGCTCTGTCCATTGTGTTTGTTATGTTGATTTACCCTTAGACCTTGTTAGACTTACTTAGGGTTCTTGAGGCAAAAATCAAACGGGTTACAAGAAAAGCAACCATTCAGATGCAAGCAGACCAGATATGATTGGAAATGAATCGCAAAGGAGGTAACAAATTAAAGCCGCTTTTTCACAAATTAAAGACCTCCCACTAACATAGTGTAGGCTTTCATTTTCAAGTTGTATGTTTGACCTAAGACCGCATGCAAATTAAAGCCACGCGCACCGCCAGTGGCCACTCACCCGTGCTCCTTTGCATGCGGTCTTAGGTCAAACATACAACTTGAAAATGAAAGCCTACACTATGTTAGTGGGAGGTCTTTAATTTGTGAAAAAGCGGCTTTAATTTGTTACCTCCTTTGCGATTCATTTCCAATCATAGCTGGTCTGCTTGCATCTGAACGGTTGCTTTTCTTGTAACCCGTTTGATTTTTGCCTCGAGAACCCTAAGTAAGTCTAACGAGGTCTAAGGGTAAATTGACATAACAAACACAATGGATAGAGCAAAATGCACATCCAAAACGCCCTTATACGAGTACAACATACAGACACTCCCTCTCCCATTCTCGACACATTGTTTGGCTCCTACGACCCGATGATTCTTAACATCGACGAATGAAATACAACGGAAAGATTACAGCACTAGAGGATGGCGATGAAAAGCACTACTAACTACGGGTACATGTCCCCTAGGACAACTCATCTACTTCGTCGGACCAAACGGCTTCATTCCCGGACTCGGTTGGTTCTTCTTCTGCACTGGCTAAGGATCTATTTCCTCTCGTGGTGGTGGTTGAGTGAGAGGAACCAAGGACTCTACTTCTGATACCTCCGAGGGTGGAGGTGTTGGTGGTACTACAACACAGGTTCTCCTTCTTTCCGGTGGGTGGATAGGGATTACCTCCAAGACCAAGGGTTCCTGCCTTTCTGTGTCAAGCGTCCTACGCTTGGCCCTTGTGACTAGATAAGCATCCTCCAGCTGTTGGGTGTGCTGATCTTCAGCCTCCTTCAGGGCTTCCGCCATGGTAGTCTCACGACTTTCTATGGCTGCCACATTGGCGTTCACCTCAGCGAGTTGCACTTTGAGCATCCTAGAGAAGATCTCGGCTTCCTCGGCTCGGCGAAGGCACTTCCTCAGCTCCAAGGCCTGCCGGTCATATTGCTCATCTAGAGCAATCAAATACGTGGCCAGATGTACCATAGTTGGGCTGTCTTCTTGCGCGTCACGCCCTTGCAAAGCCTCCATGCAAGCCCTCCATACCCGTCGATTCTTTTCCAAAGGTGGAAAGAACTTCATGGGGGTATGAGCAATTGGCTCTTCATAGATCTGGCAAAGATGCCGCAAGGCTTTGCGGGCCACAACTTGGTAGGTGTCGACGAAGCGAAACCCGATTGCGGTCACATTCCAGGCTTCAGTGATATCGAGAAACTCCTCATTCTTCCCAATGTAGACGGTGACCTCACATCGCTCAGTGCCATGTTTCTCATACTCATGACCCTCATACTCGGGGCGATCCTTGACTCCGAGTTTTTGCAAGGTGGCATACAGGATTTTGGGAAAACCCTCAATGTTCAGGCAATAGCTGCTAACCCAGGCTCCTGCCATCCTTGGTGGATGATGGTTACAAGGAAGGATCGACCGAGAAGCTTGCTCAGGAGAAAGGCTAGGTGAGCTGAGCCTGATCGAGTGGTGGTACCAAGTGGCTAGGCTAGGCCTTTTGTAATGGAGGAGCGGTCATTGGGCCTGGCACAGTCCACCCTTTAGTCTAGCGCGGAGAACAATAAAAGGAAAACGGCAGGTTTTTTACGGGCACAAGACGAGCAGTGTCTGAGGCCATTCCCTAAGCTATCTAGAAATTCACTCAATAAATTTAAAAGCACTAGACATCTTCACCTACGCAGGGTGGGTCGAAAGCCGGTGAACACATTTAATGCCTCCCCTCCATGCTACCATCAGATAAAAACAAGTCGGGCAGGTGGACACATTTACTGCCTCTCCTCCTTACCATCAGATAAAAATGATTCATCGACCATGCAGGAACATTTGTACTTACACACGCATCCATGCATCTAAGACATGGCTTGGTTTGTGTGCACGTTGCTCCCGAGGTGGTCGGTGGTTGGGGTTGGTCGCCATTACTATGGCTACCATACTTGCATCTGCACCCATGCATGCAGAGGCGCCCATTCCTTGTGGCTTTGTGCTTCACGTCGCCTGTGGTTAACGCCTGCCGTGACCCACGTCTCCCCGTACTCTTTTCTAGGCTCTTGTCAGAACCTTGTCTTGCAGCCGTATTAGTCATTAATGGCCTCGGACATCGCTCGCCTCGAACGCGCGAAAATTTCAGTTGATTCATTTATAGTGATCTCATGCTGGAACCTTGGTGGACCGCACCATGACCACTGACCGCTCTGCCTTTATAAGCAGGGTCTGGCTTAGCCGTTGTTACCACCACTCGTTGCACTTTAGCTCGCCTAGCTTTTCCTTTTGATCTAGCTTTTTGCTCAGTCCTTCCTTACAACCACCGCCAGCGATGGTAGGAGCCTGGGTTAGTAGTTACTGTCTGAACATTGAGGGTTTCCACAAGATCCTGTATGCCACCCTACAAAAGCTCAGAGTCAAAGATCATCCCGAGTATGAGGGCCATGAGTATGAAAAGCATGGCACTGAGTGTTGTGAAGTTACCGTCTATATTGGGAAGAGTAAAGAGTTCCCTGACATCACTGAAGCCTAGAATGTTACTGCAACTGGGTTTTGCTTCGTCGACACCTACCAAGCTGTGGCCCGTAGAGCTTTGCGGTACCTTTGCCAGATCTATGAAGAGCCCATTGCCCATACCCCCATGAGGTTCTTTCCACCTTTGAAAAAGAATCGACGGGCATGGAGGGCTCGCATGGAGGCTTTGCAAGGGCAGGATGCGCAAGAAGATAGTCCTACCATGGTGCACTTGACCACGTGTCTGCTTGCTCTAGATGAGCAATATGACCGGCAAGCCTCGGAGCTGAGGAAGTGCCTTTGGTGAGCCGAGGAAGCCGAGATCTTCTCCAGGATGCCCCAGGTGCAGCTTGCCAAAGCGCATGCCAGTGTGATAGCCGCTGAGAGTCGGGAGACTGCCATGTCGGAAGCTCTGAAGAAGGCTGAAGATCGACATGCCCATCAGTTGGGAGAGGCCTTCCTTGTCACCAGGGCCAAGCGGAGGACGCTGGCTGCTAAATGGCAGGATCCCTTGATCATGGAGGGGATCTCTATCCACCCGCCAGAAAGAAGGAGAACTGGTGTTGCAGTACCGCCAGCACCTCCACCCTTGGAAGTGTCAGAAGTAGAACCCTTGATTCCTCTCACTCAGCCGTTGCCAGGAGAGGAGGCAGATCCATAGCCAGGGCGGTAGAAGAATCCACCGAGCCTGGGAATGAAGATGCGTGGTCCAAAGTAGATTAGTTGCCTTGGGGTGATGTACCCGTAGTTAGTAGTGTCTTTCATCGCTGTCCACCGGTATT